ATCGCATAGTTAATTTCCTCTCTTCCATTTTTCCCTTTTATCTGACTTCTCTTTAGAACTTACCCATCCAAACAATTAAGGGGTTGCCATCGGTGTCCCAACGCCGATCGGTGGCAGCCCTCTGCCCTTTTCACGCTTTGTTATTTTTCGTGCATTTCATGCTTTCCTTCTTCTCCTTCCTTTCTTTGGGTTCTCTCCTGGTTTTTTTGTTGTTCTTAATTATCTTTGCCCTATTTAAGGGAGTTTTCTTTCCCGTTCGTGGGTTCTTTCCTCCCCTCTGTGGGATGTGGTTTTGGCCTCTGGACTATTCACTTTAGATATGGAGATGATGTCCGATCTAAGATGCGAAGGAGGCCAGATCCGACCCAGATCTGGCTTGTTTTCTCCTCTTCTCTTCCATCTCTAACTCCTTGTCACATCTTGCAGGTCATGGTATTTTGGAGATGCAACCGTTTGGCGTTGGACTCGGTTAAATGAGCTTGAAGACATAGGTGCTTCTCCTCTGTTCCCTCCATCGACCGTCTAGTCGTTTCTCATGTTTTCTCTTTGCTGGAGCGACGGGAGACGGAAGACGGTTGGCTCGGGGTGGGATGGTTGAAGATATCTTCTTCTTCATCCCTCCATCAGGGTGTGATGGAGGCTGAGCTACTGCTTCGTGCATGGTGGTGGTTGCTAAGAGGACGCGACACTGCAGGTTTAACCTAGCAGCGGTGAAGGTTCGGCTGCTACGGTGGAGGTTTTCAGAGAGGCATATTTTTTGCTAGGGTTCTGAAGGCAAAAACACTTTTGTTGGGCCTTGGGTCTGGACCTATTGGGTTCTAGACATTTTTTGTTGTTTTTGGATAAGGTGAATTGCATTAAAAGACGGAAAGAAAAAGCTAAAAGTCTGGACATCAAAAGCAGTGATGGCCTAGGGCAAGGGAGAAAACCAGAGACCGAGAAAAAGCACGAGAGAAAGCAACAGGGCTTCGAGCCTTCAGCGACCAGGAAACCCTTGCGTACAGAAGAGAAGGACCGCCCACGCAGGAGCACAAGCCAGCTCACGCAGGAGCAAGAAAACAAACACAAAGAGAGAAGGCAAGGGAATCCAAGGAGGCCCAAAACATCAAATCCTATGAAGACAATTATGCTACCATTCGATACATTATCTTTTATCAGCTTTCCCATGGACAACAACCCAATCGAGGACGTTACGGACAATCTTACGGGTTAGAGCCGCTGCAGGGATGGAGGTCTGCCTGAAGATTCTCTCATCTCTTTGGGCCGGTTGTTTTTTTGTTGTTCACATCCAGTTGATGTCTGCTTGTACTTTTCTGGGCTTGTCCCATTCGCACTCTTAATGAACTGCTACTTTAAAAAAAATTAAAGCTTCTATAAAGTTTCGGGTAAAGCCACGTGTGAGGAAATCATTCACTACACATAGGGAAAATCCTACCATGAGAGAAATATAATAGATGTTGTCTTCACTAATAAAGTCTCGGGTAAAACCATGTGTGAGGCAATCAATCTTTGTACATCGGGAATAGGAATAGTTCAATTGAGCATCGGTTCGGGACCGTACGATGTTGTTTATGTAGTAAAATCCCTAACCAAGTGAAGTGTTGTTTGAGAATTCTGCTTGGAGAGCACGGTTAAAGCTTCTGATACCCCGTGTTTTCATTGTTCTCCACATGGATCGAGGAAAAGGAGCTAAACAAAACTCTTAGGGTAATGACTATTTATTAGCTAAACATTTTTTCAGATTTTTTTTATTAGCCAAACCTATCCAAATACTAAAAATTAGCCAAATGTTAACTTCCGGTTAGCAAATTTATTAGTAATATTGATTTATCAACATGATACTGACTTGGAAGAGACACATGAAGATCAACATACATAAATTTTAGTATTTTAACTAAGAAAATAGTTACAAAATTATTAATGAGAACGTAAAAATGGCTAATATTTTGATACATTACGAAAGATTTGACTAATTTATAGCATTTTATTAGGTTTCAAAAATATAAAAGAATCATAAAAATGTTCGGATAAAAAATAGACATTACACAAACTCTTATGCTAAAGGTGTAGAAATTGCTCCATCAAGTCTCCAAATAGAACCACTCATTCTACAAAAAGTACAAAAATCGGTAATGCTTTTTATAAAAGAGAGAACATATAAATTCTCATTAAAAGTATGAGAGCACAAAACGTCTTACACTTTTCATCTAGATTGTTTCTACTATTCATTTAGACTCAATTTTACTATTCAAGTGATTATGATTGGCTCTACTCCTGCGGCAGGCCCTGTGCTCTCTAATTGGCCACCTGTAGACTTGGGAGGGATGCTTAATTCTCCCACTTGCCCTGTTTGACTTTAAGTTGCAGCGCATTGTATGGTGTGCGAAAGCGCGCGTTGGCCACCTGTACACTTTAACGGGCCCGGTGAAGTCAAAATACAGACTTGAGGGGACTAGAGATATATTTTGAGATTGCTTGGTAGGTATAATTCCACGTTGCTTTATTTCGTGCACTCAATTCACCTACCCCATCTGGCCTCCCTCTATTAGTTCTTTTAGTCTTACAACGTTTCGTTAGAACTCAGAACCACCTCTTCCCCTTCTCTCTCTTCCTCACCCTGTTTTCTCCGAACTCTTTCAGTATGAAAAACCATATGAAATCTGGCAGGAAATAATTCGAGAATTCGTTCCTCCCTTGAAGATCTAGATTGGTAGCTCAGAGAAAGATTCTAACTGCAGAATTCTTCCCTCGCAATTTCGGGCAGATTATACCTTTGTTTTCCCTTTGTCTCATCTGCCTTTGTTTTATCTTTTCTCTCTGCTTAGTTATTTTTCTTCTCTCTTCTCGTGATATGAGGGGAGTTGAAAGTCATGAAGAGGAAGATTTGAGAAATCTGGTAAGTATTAGGAGTAGATCCAAATCCGCTAGTTGTGACTTTGATTTTTGGCGATTTATCCTTCTCTCTTTGGTGAGTTTTCTTTACTTTTTTACAGTTCCATTCATCATCCAGATCTCTCGATTCTTCGTAGGAGATTCAGGTTTCGAGTTTAGTGATAAAAGTTCTATCGACTAGGGGTGTCTGTCGATTCAAACTCTTGCAGGGGATTGGGGTGCTGGGGAACCAACTTTTTGTCGCAGCTCCGTCATCTCTACAAGGCATGGGTTTTTTTCTCTCTCTTTTCTTGATAGGATTGTTTTTCTCTTTCCAATTTCATTTGTGGTCTCAATCCGCCGGTGTTATCTTTGATTTTGAGTGATTAGTGGACGATGAAGTGTCTTTCATTTGGTGGTCTTTCTTGACCACTCGCTGAGTCATCTCGGTTCTTTCTTTCTGTCATGTATTGAGGATTGGAGTTTATCTGGGCTTTTAGAGGGATTCCACCAGTTATCAACAGTGTTAATTTTTGTTTGAGCATGGTCGTTTTGTTGTGGTATCTGTATATGATGGGTTAAAAGTAAAACCCCCAATACTCTTTCCACACTCACCTTGATTTGATTTTTGTATGAGCAGTAATTCAATACGAAAGTTTAAAATTGTTTTGTTGTCCACAACTGTACAAGGATGTTGTGATCATTTCTACTGAATTCGTGCTCCGATGTTAACAAATTGTCTATGTTCCAATGGATTCAATAGCAGGGCGTGAAAGATATATCTCTAGGTTAAAGTTCTTTGAAAATGTTAAAAGTATCATAGCACAAAACGCCTTACACTATTCATCTAGACTGTTTCTGCTATTCATTTAGACTCAATTTTACTATTCACGTGATTCTGATTGGCTCTACTCCTGCGGCGTGCCATGTGTTCTCTAATTGGCCACCTGTAGACTTGGGAGGGATGCTTAATTCTCCCACTTGCCATGTTTGGCTTTGAGATGCAGTGCTTTGTATGCTGTGCGAAAGCACGTGTTGGCCACCGGTACACTTCAATGAGCCCAGTGAAGCCATAATTAGGGGTGGTAAAATGGTCGGTATCGGTTTAACCGGTTACCGTTTGACCGGTTGTCGGTATACCAGACGCCAGCAAATGTCCACCGAAATCCGAAATCGAGAATGTATCGGTATACCTATTACTGAATCCGCCTATTCCCGGTTATGCAATGGTCAACCGAAATCATCATCATCATGTCGCCTTTACAGCCATGACTCGGGAATATGATTGGCGTGGTCAGCCAGAAATGCCTGGCAGGGGGTTGTCGTCTCGAAAAGATGGAAGATGTGGCAGTAATTTACCATCGTTAGTAGCAGCGACGGTTGTGGTTATCGGCGGTTGAAGCTTTTGCAGCTTCTGTCACGGAAGCTTGTGAAGGGTCTGCTGTAATTAACAATTTAAACTAACATAATGAATCAAATCCATTTTAACTCAGTAACACACAAACCTAAATAATAGCAGTATAGTGATTGGGCGAGCGGGGAAGCTCCGACGGTGAGGTCAACGGAACTGGGGACCGACGGCGACGTGGTCGATGGAAACAGGGTCCAACGGAGAGGATGAGGTACCGTACTGGGTTGCTGGGTCGTCGGTCGTGGGTAGAGCGTGCGCCGGCGATATGGAGAGGAGGGAGCTTTTTTCTGGAGCTTTGGACCAGGCTGCATTTGGATTTGAGGAGTGATGGTAGGCAGAGGACAGAGACCGATGAATTATTTAAGTATTAACTAATTAATTATTAATTTGCTAATCTAATTAGTTACTAGGTTAAATTAGGGGGCAACTTTTGCTCACTGCTGGACTGGGCTTGCTATATATATATATGCCCTTTACCCTTTAATATTCCGGTATCAAAATACCGACATACCGACGGTATATTACCGAGCCCATATCGGTGTACCGTTGCCCCTAATCCCGCATCCGAATACCGTTGAATACGATTAACGGTTTAAACGGTAACTGCGGTTACCGGTACGGTTTAAACGTTAACCGCAATACCGTTAACCAGCCCTAGCCATAATACAGACTTGAGGGGACTAGAGTTATTTTTCTAGCTTGCTTGGGAGGTATAATTCCACGTTGCTCTATATCTTCCACTCAATTCACCTACCCCATCTGGCCTCCCTCTATTAGTTCCTTTAGTCTTACAACATTTTGTTAGAACTCAGAACCCCCTTTTCCCCTTCTCTCTCTTCCTCACCCAGTTTTCTCCGAACTCTTTCAGTAGTAAAAACCATATGAAATCTGGCCGGAAGTAATCCGAGAATTCGTTCCTCCCTTGAAGATCCAGATTGGTAGCTTGGAGAAAGATTCTAACTGCAGAATTCTTCCCTCGCAATCTCGGGTAGTTTATGCCTTTGTTTTCCCTTTGTTTCATCTGCCTTTGTTTTATATTTTCTCTCTGCTTACTTATTTCTCTTCTCTTTTCCCAGGAGATGGGCGGAGTTGAAAGCCATGAAGAGGGAGATTTGAGAAATCTGGTAAGTATCAGGAGTAGATCCAAACCCGCCAGTTGCGACTTTGATTTTTGGCAATTTATCCTTCTCTCTCTGATGAGTTTTCTTTACTTTTTTACATTTACATTCATCATTCAGATCTCTCGATTCTTCGGAGGAGATTCAGGTGTCGAGTTCAGCGATAAAAGTTATATCGACTAGGGGTGCTAGGGAACCAACTTTTTGTCGCATCTCCGTCATCTCTACAAGGCATGGGTTTTCTGTCTCTTTTCTTGATAGGTTTATTTTTCTCTTTCCAGTTCCATTCGTGGCCTCAATCCACTGGTGTTATCTTTGGTTTTGAGTGATTAGCTGGACGATGAAGTGTCTTTCATTTGGCAGTCTTCCTTGACCACTCGCTGAGTCATCTCGGTTCTTTCTTTCTGTCATGTATTGAGGATTGGAGTTTATCTTGGCTTTTAGAGGGATTCCACCTGTAATCAACTATGTTAATTTTTGTTTGAGCATGGTCCTTTTGTTGTGGTATCTGTATATGACGGGTTAAAAGTAAAAAACCCCTACTCTTTCCACACTCACCTTGATTTGATTTTTGTATGAGCAGTAATTCAATACGAAAGTTTAAAATTGTTTTGTTGTCAACAACTGTACACGAATTTTGTCATCATTTCTACTGAATTCATGCTCAGATGTTAACCAATTGTTTATTTTTTTAATGGATTCGATTGCTGGGCCTGGCTAAGCAAAGTTCTCCCAGAAGATGTGAAAGAGATATCTCTAGGTTAAAATTCTCTGAAAATGTTGAAGATCAAGAAAAACACTACATTCTTAGGGATGGGTAAGAATTGTGGACCGAGAAAGTGGGAAAAGCACCAAATGAAATTTTCAGAGTCGACACAGATGGTGGCATAAATAGCAGAAGCAACTCTGGACTTGGAGTGTTTATCGTTATAGGAATGGGGATGTTTTGCTGCCACACCAACTGAGGATGTAAAATTGAGCAATAATATGGTTGAAGTTAAAAACATTGTTTGCTCATAGAGATTCGATTCATGTTTCCCACCACCATTTAGCCGATCCAACTCCTCATGTTTCTCAGCAAACTATATTGAATGGTTGTATTCCCCTCTTATTGCTATGATGTAATTACCCATGAGGCTATTCCTTCATGTTAGTAATGAAAATTGAAAAAATTAGAACTTAAATAATTGGTTTGTAAATATTATTTCTGGTGTATCCTCCCTGTAACACCTGCTATCTTAGAAAAAGTCAATGTATTCTTCTCTACCTTCAATTATGACGTAAATGAGTGAGAACTAGATGCAACTATGCATCACAATTTTGCTGCACAAGCGAATATATATTCTTACTTTGTTTCGTTCCTTCTCTAAATAATAAATGAGGAACCAAAAGCTTGGTCCACAAATGTATCGCAAGTTTATAATGTCATTGTCAGCCATATTCTATGGGTTATCTTATCTCATGAAATACAGAATAGTTCATTTCTGTTTTGCTGGGATTGCTTAAATCCCAACGTGGAGCTCGGGCAATGAAACCTAGTTGTCATTAAAGATAAAGATGTGCTTAAATGTATGGGTAAAGCTACAAAGAGCTTCGCCTCAAACATTCGTTGTTGTCACTAATAAAGTGTCGGGTGAAGCCACGTGTTAGGCAATCACTCATTACACATAGGGGAAAACCTACCATAAAAAAGAAATATAATAGACAATGCTGTCATTAATAACGTGTCGGGTAAAGCCACATGTGAGGCAATCACTCATTGCACATAGGGAATAGGAACGATTCAACTGAGCATTGGTTTGCAACCGTACGATGTTGTTTATCTAGTACAATCCCTCATTGAGTGAAGTGTTTTTTGAGAATTGTGCTCGGAGAGCACGAATAAAGCTTCTAGCACCCCTCGTTTTCATTGTCTCTCCACACAGATTGAGGAAGAGGAGTTAAACAAAGTCCTTATGCAAAAGGTGCATAAATTGCTCCATCAAGGCTCCAAATAACCCCACTCGCGCTACAAAAAGTACAAAAATTGGCATGTTCTGTATAAAAGAGAGAACATCTAAATTCTCATTGTCATTAAATATAGAGATGTTCTTAAATGCATGAATAAAGCTACAAAGAGCTTCGCCCCAATCATCGTCTGCAACCACTTTGCTACTCGCCCTTTGCTTATCTCTCTTTAGTTTTTTTTTACTGTTATTTATTTTATCTATTTTTTTTAAATTCAAGTAGAATCTTCAGTTTGAGTAGTCGATCATTAGAAATTCGTGTGTATAGGATATGAATACCCCTCGTGTATTCAGTAAATTTGATTGTACAGTACAAAGTGATCAATAAGGGCTTCGTTTAAATCCTTTTCCTCAATCCATGTGGAGAGGTAATGTAATAGAAGGGTATCGGAAGCTTTATCCTTGCCCCCCAAGCACAATTCTCAAACGACACTTCGCTCGGCGAGGAATTGTGCTAGATAAGCAACATCGTACGATCGATGCTCAATTGAACCGTTCATATTCCCCCTATGCAATAAATGATTGCCTCACGAGGCTTTACTCCACACTTTATTTGTAAAGGTGACATCTTTTATATTGCTTTGTCATGTAGAATTTTCGAATGTATAAGGATACAACTCGACCCTAATTGCTTTTAAGACTTGAAGACTCGTTTGCAAGAGTACAAAAACTCACAAAGGATAGTGATAAGCATTGTATCCTAACATTTAGAATGGTCTTTAGTCTCATGACAATGACATCCTTCATAGCTACACTAGCCTCCCTAGATTACTTGTTAACGCAAAGACTAGCAAATCAAAGTAAGGCGTGCTTTAATTGTTTCAAAAAAATTGAAAATTTATGCTCATTACGGACATAATTGTCCTTCTTTTGCATGAACATTCAATCGAGGATGATACGTGAAGTGCAGTCTAAACTTACCCACACCTTAAATAGGACGATGTCTTCATTGGACCAAACAAGGGAGTATAGAACGAAATTACCTCGGTCGTTAAAATGATTTATGCACAACCGATTAGTTCCTTTTGATTTTTGCCCTTAATAGAAAGAAAAAAAAGAAAAACAGAGAGTGAATACGTCATCTGCTCATCTACAACAACCACCTTAGATAGGTTTGCCTAACTAACCTATTGAATGCTTCAAAATCGAGTCATTTGAGTTGTGAACAGAGGAGGCTGCCACGCATAGCACATAATCTTCTAACTCAAACGACCAAGCGCGAAGCAACTAATGTTAGGAGACATGCATAGAGCAAGCTTATAGTCACATTAATTGTTCTTGTTGTCATAAGCGACCAACACAAACTCTCGACAATCATTTCATTGTTACTATTGTCGCGTCAGAAGTAACAATATCCAACGATTTGGCGTACGTCCAAAGGTAGGACAGGGGTGGGCAACCGGTTCGGTAAACCCGAACCGAACCGAACCGAAACCGAACTAATGCTATTCGGTTCGGAATTCGGAAGGAAAATATGGATATTTCGGAAATCAGGGTTCTTTCAACCGAACCGAATTTCCGAATTTCCGACCGAAAAACCGAAATACTATAATTGCAAGCTCAAATGGTGGATTTTTATGTTTGTATTTGTTTTTAGACTTAAATATTTGAAATGTTTTATGACTTATGTGTTGAAAAGTTTGATTTTATCATTAATGATGCATATAATTACATATTTGTTGTTTATATTAAGGGTGAAAAATAATTTAAATGTGAGAAGATACAAGTAGCCTCTCAATTTCGGTTTTGTGTATAAAACCGAACCGAACCGAATTATAATTCGGTTTAAACCGACCGAACCGAATTTTAATTCGGTTCGAATTCGGTTTGGGGGTTGGGAGTATTCGGGGACCCGGTATTCATAATTTCGGTTCGGTCGAAACCGAACCGACCGAATGCCCACCCCTAGGACGGTTGACACCCTCAATTCCCAAGGTAGGAAAGTGCCTCCTTAGAGAGTGCCATAACACTTATCTTGTATCATCGTGAGGAGTTCTCCAAAAAAGACGATTGTTACATTCTTTTTTTTTTATAAAACTTTAGAGACACTTCTGCTCAGTTACATAATATTTTATAATTTAATTATTACAAATAATAATTTATTTGATTTCCCTCTATTAAGCTGCCCCTTCTCTGAAATTCTGCTCCCTAATTCAAAATCAAGCCTTAAAGTTAAAACTGATTTTCATGTCCGTCCCTAGAAGTTAGAACTAGAAAAGGAAATAGAAGAAAGCAAAGCCAGCCACGTCGACAAGCCGAGAACTTTGAAGAGCAGTCTTCGGGCCCAAGAAACTCATGTCGACCAAACCGCTCGGGTACCGCCACGTGCCCCTTTACTGCGTCATACGTAAGCCACGACAGTAAGCCACGTCAGTAATATCTATCCGTCTGCTCATTTTTTATTGCATCGGGATACGAAAGGAGCTAAATATCTCTCGAATAAGCTACATGGTTTCTTCGTCCCCAAGACAGTGGGCTGGCGGCCGTACAGCTGAATTTCTGGTAACCCCCATTCTCACCTCATTCACTCTCTCTGATAAACCCTTTTTCAAGAGGGCCTAATATTGGCTTAAACCCCTCTCGAACTCTAATCAGAACACCGCAGAATCAATTTCATCTCCATCTTCTTCACCGGTGGGTGACTAACTTCGATAAACCTTCTTCTTTCGCCGGCTTCGTTCCAAATCTCGTTTCCAGGCCAAAATTTCCGAAAATGGCCGACTTGTTGGGAAGCGGCAGTTTCCTGGGGATTAGTAGCACGAGCTCGAGCGGCAAGCGAACGCCGAGGAGGAGAAACGGCACCGTATCGGTAGAAGAGACGCTGGAGAGGTGGAAGAAACAAACGAAGGTGGACCTCCTGAAGAACCACAACCCACCAAAGGGCTCGAAGAAAGGATGCATGAGAGGGAAAGGGGGCCCCGAGAATATGAACTGCAAGTACAGGGGAGTTCGGCAGAGGACTTGGGGGAAATGGGTAGCTGAGATTCGGGAGCCGGTTCGGGGAACCGGTTCGACGAAGAAGAAAGGGATCAGACTCTGGCTCGGAACGTTCGAGACTGCAATTGAAGCGGCCGTGGCTTACGATAACGCTGCCAGGTCAATGTACGGAGATTGCGCGGTGCTTAACTTCCCTTCTTCCTCTGACGAAGCTGTGGAGTATCGGTCGAGCGATATTTTGTCTCACGAGACTGAATCGGGTGAAGTAAGTGGGTCGCTGAATTTGTGCGAGGGTAATTCTAACATGGACGTGGAATCGAAGATGGAACCGGTTGGTAGATGTGAAGGTGACTTGTGTGGGAGTGCGAAACATGAATTGGGTTGCTCTGTTTTCAGTCAGCGGAATGAGGAGTCCGTGGTGAAAACAGAATTGGAAGCGTCGAGCTCGAATGAGTGTGAGAAGAAGGGTGAATCTGAACAGCAAGTCGCAATCCTGAAAACGGAAGAACTGGACGAAGAGCTGGAGGAGTTTATGAGATACTGCAGTGGTTGGGGGCTAAACCCAACCACAAATCCGCCCGAGCAAAGCCCTGTGAAAATGGAAGAGGAAAGCGGTTATCAACAAACCAATAACGGTGACATCGATCTGAATCCTCCTCCTCGTGTCTACCCTGGAAGCTCTTCTGATTTCAACTCGTCAGGGGTGCGAGGAAGATATGGTGATTATGGACATTGCTCCCAGTTGGGTTCGCAGCAGGATGGAAGGCAGTGGGATCTGGCTCCTTACAACAATGGTGGAGGAAGTGGGAGCTGTGGCTTTGGTTGGTCGGGCTGGGGGGCGGAGATGGATTGGAATATGACGATGGAAGAGCCAGGGTTTTGTGAAGAAGATAGGTTGTTCTCTGTCGCTGAATTTGGATTCCAGTAGTAGTGTGAAAGTGTTCGTGGAGGCTTTGAGGGGTTTGGTCTTCTTCTTCTATAGTAGCATCTGTAGAATTGGAGTTGCGCTCATATTAGGGTTCTTAGTTCTTGCACCGTTAATGTTCGGCTGTCTCAGTTTTAGATTTGTCTGTATAGTTGGATTACGAGCTACTGTTCAGAATTTTTCTCTTCTGTCTACACAGGTAGAGGAACTTCTTTTGTAAGTTGTAACCCTAACCAAGTTATGCGGTATACACGTAGAATCTTGAGCGAGGATCTGAACCAAACAGCTAATAGCGCCACCGCACAGAAGCGAGCGAACACTGTACTGCTACAATTTTTTGTTCGGGTGCCAGAGAAGAGAAAAGTATATATATACATGCAAAGCCGTTCAATCCTTGTTTGGGCCGCGTCAACTCTCGAGCCAGGTCGCGCCATGCTACTCCTTTTCCTGGTTGGTTTCGGCCCAAACCACCTTCCAAGGCCCATTTTTATCGCCCAACCTAACACAGCCGGAGGAATGGAAGAATCATAATTCTTGATACTCTTCATTCTGTTCCATATTTTCCCCAACTAATGATGTTACTATATTAGAAAGAAGGTTTTATTACCTCCATATACCAGCAAGGACACGCAAGATCATGAAGAGGAATAACCCAGCCCAGACGCCGGGAAGACCGTACAACGGAGCAGCCCAGAGTAGAAACAATGATGAGATTAGACCAACTACCACCTGCCAAAAACCAACCACCAAGCTTGGCTCAGAACTGGAAAACCAGAGACGATACAGTATTTGTAATACCACGCTCCTCTTCAGTTAGTCTAGCATGAAGAAGAACAAACCATGGAGTAGGCAGCATATCCAAAGTCTGAAACACCGTAGTAGAGGCCATCGAGAACGAAAGCTACAGCATTCACAGGCTGAGAACCAGCAACGAACTGCAGAATTTGAAACAATTAGTGTTATGCAAATACTTGGAATAATGTTCATTCGTTGTAAGTAAAGGCAATAAGCAAAAACGCATTTGAAGACTATTTATGGATGGCCATTAAGAGAAGCCCATTGCTTTGAGTATAAAGCAATAGTGTTCTAAGCGTGAATTGTCATTTAGGGAAATAACAATTCTCACCCAAATACCAGAGGAAGCAATTTTTAGGACTTCAGCATCTGTGGTGAATAGGCTAGCAAAAGATCCAAATCCAAGAAGTAGTGTGGCACCCAAAGCCATTCCAGTCCCCAAACCAATCTGCAAAATTAAGGCAGAAATGAAGTCACCAAAGAATGTGACGGTTTAAATCAGTCCCCACAAGACAGCTGGAGGAATCCAAAGCCACATGAATTTAAGCTTGGGACAATCCGCACCTGCAGAACTTTATAAGTCACTTGCCGTGCTTCTTCATACTGTCCTTTGGAGTAGCCACCGGCCAGCAGAGCCTGTATAAAGCTTAAATCAGAGCCGGTGGAGAGGCCAAAACTTGCTCGGATGTTTGATCTTAGGCTATCAGCAGTGAAAGCAATAACAGCAGAAATGACAAAAAACAAGGGATGTTTCACAGTTTCTTGCATATAAGAGTCATCGACACAGCCAATGAGCCAAAACAGTTACCTGACCAGCAATTGCTAAAGCATCATTGAGCAGGGATACAGCCAACCAAACTTGCATGCAAATTTGATGACCAGCCATGAATATTGGCCCCTCCCTAGCTGCCAAGGATGTTGACAGTGTCATTGTTAAAAGCACTGCTACAGTCCTACCAATGAGAAGGCCACCTGCAATTTTAATGAAGCTACGATAAGCAAGCAGTTCGAGCAGTCACTCAGTGGTGAGCTACCTTTTCTATTTCCACTTTCAGTTAAACAAGTTAAAATAACTTACCAGAATTAAGATAGCGGATTAGTCTTCTTCCATCCATCTCTGGAGAGACCAGCTTCACTTTATCATTCAACTTCCAGAGAAGGATAATTGCAATTAGGTACCTAGACGGATGAGAAACATTAAGTGTATTTAGCGCAGAGAGGTAAGAGTTGCAAATATCAGTAACACTAACATGAACGACAAAGCACCGCTATAATAAAGTTTACCACATCAATGACGTACTCAGATATCACAGTGGCAACTGCAGCTCCCCCTATGCCAAAACTGCAAAGGAATATCAAGATTGGATCTAGGATTGCATTCAACAAGTTGCCAAAACCTGCAGTTGTGACCATACACAAACGAGAGAAAGACCACTGTTATCCAAGAGACGTAGTAATGCTCTAAGAACTCCAAATGATCTAGATACCACGGTCCTTGTAGCGATTCAGCTAGATCAAACCTACAACGGTGACTATGAAAATTGATTGCATGCTAGTGAAATAAAGCTAAAGTAGTTGAGTTCCTGAAATACAGTTGAAACGTATATATTGCTGGCAACAGATGTGAAAGTTAAGAGTGCTAAAGGAAGACAGTGCCATAATACTTGCCAATGGCATATAGAGGCGTCTTTGTATCTTTAAACCCACGAAAAGCTCCCTGTGCAGCAAGGGCTATCACAATGGGTGGAGCACCAATCGCCCTTAATGTAAGGAACTGCTCAGCTGGCGCTCGCATAGGTGAACCCTGTAAACCACGGAAGAACTTATATTACACATCCAGTCTTCGGATAGTGTCTAGTAAATTGAATATATATAGGCAACCAAATGGCAGCCTGAATTTTGATTCAGTGATATCTTAACAAGAAAATTCATACAAACGCATATCAAGCTGTGACGTACTACAGGTATACCCATGATATTCATTAAGAAACCCGAACCAATATATAGTGCAACAGCTTCTGCAACGCCAAAAATAGAGGCGAGGACCAAGGAAGTGGACACCGAGGGAAGTTCTTCTGACCGAATCCCTGAACCTGATGACAAACACATTGTAACAGAAATTACACCACAAGAGACAGAATGCAGAATTCAGAACATTGGTGAAATATCTTAACATCTTGAGAAGTTGAAGCTAAGTTTTCAGTTGTTACCATCACCCGATTCAACTGAACCAGTGCTAGCCCTTTCGCCAAGCAGAGCTTGTTCTTCGGCGACAAAGGATGTTGTGATGTTAAGTAAGGGCACATTGAACAATTTAGATACCAGATTGAATATCGAAACCGATACTCCAACTGCCGCTAGTTCAACCGCTCCTACATGAATCAGATGATTAGAGATAACAAGTATCAGTACCAACAAAGAAAGCATTATGAACAGAGCACAAATCACAATTGCATCTCTAGGACTTAAGAGTGGAATGTGAAGCATAAGTACCGATGTGACCAACAAAGGCTGTGTCGACCAGAGAAATGATAGGATCAGCGGCGAGAGCTAAAGCAGCAGGGAAGGCAATCGACAAAATCTCCAAACCCAGCTCATCTAGCTTGATTGCGTTTCTGCCGAAATCCAAAGCACGAATCAAATCATTGAAACTAAAATTCACAAATCCAGCAGCGCTAACTGATCATCTCAAATTTAGCTCTAAGCAGAAACAATCACCTGACGCGACGGAGAAGAGGGACCGGCAGGTCGTCGTTTTCAAGTTGTGCATTAGATACCGGAATCGGAGAAACCTCCGGAGCGTTGGACGATGCTTCAGAGTTTCCTCTCTGCGAGAGAGATCTCGGGACGGTTCGCGAACGAAGAATGAAGCAGTTGGAATTGTTGTTTCTGAAGAGAGTCCTAGATTTCGGAGTCGAGGAGCAGACGCCGAGAAGAAGCTCGTGAGAGATACCTGCGGAGACGGCGGCAGCCATCTCTGACTCGGAGTCGGAACTGGGAGGGAAATTGCGCTCATGCGTTGGGAGGGAAAGTGAAGGAGGATTCTCACGTCGCCTGAGACCGGAGGGTGGGGATGTGTACCGGATGGATGGGATGGCCAGTGGCCACTCGTAGGGATGGCAAAAATATCCGTAACCGTGGATATCCGCCCGAATCCGGCCTAGTCGGGTAGGGTAAAACCCGAACCCGAAGGACACTTAGTGGGTACGGGTAAAACCCGAACCCGAATATTGCGGGTAATGGGTGGGCATGGATTTCTCACTATCCGACCCGAACCCGCCCGATTATACACATGCATATGTATTTTGTCTAGAAATAATCATTATTTTTCTCTAACGTATTTTATATTTAGCATATAAATATAACATTTTCATGAAATTGTGTTGTTTTAGTTAATTTTCTTCATTCTAGTGAATTCTTGTCGTACTTTTTCTCTTACTTAATATAAGAATATGTGTGAATGTTAACATATTGGTTGGAGTTATGAACAGAAATTAATATCCATGGATAACCGTGGATACCCGAAACCCGAACGGGTATGGGCATGGTTTTGATTTTCTACCCGTTTCACATGTGGGTATGGGTATGGGTAAAACCCGAAGTACTTTGGGTAGGGTAACGGATATGCACTATCCGCCCCCGACCCGACCCATTGCCATCCCTAGCCACTCGCCACAGGTTAAATTTCCATGGCCACGCAAATTAACGGATAGATTACGCGCTGTGAATGTGATTATGAAAATATCTGACCTTTTATTTAATAACCTTTTATTGGGCCTTCAAGAGAGGCCAATAATCTGGACCGTATCCACGAGCCCAGTAAGCCTGGGGAACAACTTAAATCCTTCTTATTTTCAAACTACCCAAGGGGCCTTGTGCGACAGTATACATATTGGTTATATTTCTCATATACTCTCTTTTCCTTTTTTTTTTTTTTTTTTTTTTGTGTGTGGGATTCTCGTATCCTCTTTTGTTTTCACAATGCATTCCTTTTACTTGCTTTAAGAAAGTAATTTGCCAACAACATCAGAATTCACGTGGTTTAGGCCCTGGTATCACTATAGATCTTTCTACGAATTTAGAGCAGTTTCTTGTGAAAACTATTTTAAAGCCAGATTTTTAATCGATAGGACTTATTTGGTCATAGATTTGTCTACTATTCATAAAATTCGAACAGTAAAAATTTCCAATGCGTATTAATATTTATATATTTTCAGGTACCAATTTCATTAAAGATTATTTATATTTCTTACGGGAAAAAACAAAGAGTCAGAGAGAGAGAGAGAGAGAAAAGACGACTCATCTATCTTCTCAAGCATCATCAAATCTATCTTCTCAAGCAATTGCAATTTGAAAGAGCCTATTTCACAGTTATACAAACACAATTAGTATTTAGTAACCAGATTTTCATCAGCAGCCCATATACAACACAAGTACGTGTACAAGCAAATTAAGTGGCAGCAAAATCTTTCAAGTCCAAAAGCATGCATGAACGACTGGGTCTGGGCATAATATTGATGGCGCTAGCTCGATGTATACGAAGGATGAAGAAGGCCGGAGCCGCCCGCCAAATGGTTAGCTAAAGCCTGCGGAGAGAGGAAGGGAAGGCATGTGAAACGGCCGGCCACCACAAGTGAGAAGGTGGAGGGAGGAGCGACAGCGGAGCAGAGCAGAGCAGAGCAGACGCATGATGAGGAGGAATTTAAGTGGAAGAGAGAGGAGCAGCGTGGAAATGCGGGCACCTGCAACCAACCACAAAATTAAAAGGAAAAAACGGGCCCCGCGCCACCCAAAAAAACAAAAAAGAAAAAAAAAACCCTGGAAATGAGTGCTTGCAAGCAATAGCATAAGCATATAATGGGCAGCGGCAGAGACATTTATGATTTATGTATGTGTCTAGGTATGTGATATGATGATGCCGATCATTCATAACCCACAAGGACAGTTGATTTTCGCATTTAAAAAATAAAACCCCTATTAGTATTACCGTGAGTTGCACGGAGACGGAGTTAAGAGTTGGCCGGGGTATCAGCCAGTCAACATCCCCCAGTCCAACGTAACCCAGGCTATATGATTATGGCTACAACTCAAAGGCGATTGTGGAAATCTGAAGGAAACAACCCCACAAGAAAGAAAGAAAGAAAGAAAGAAAGAAAGAAAGAAAGAAACATCAAGCAAATAAAAACTACCATCACATGGTTGGATATATATATTGCATGAACAGGAGTAATCACCAGCACCCAAAAAAGCGCATTATATATATATATATTAAAAAAACACACACACACACAATCACACATACATATATCTATCTATATATGTTTGCATGGTCCATGTCTCCACGACTACATTAATGTAGTCCTTGTTCAATTATGTATCCAGTAAAAGGAAGCACAATCATATTGCTATCCACCACCTCCATTATTTCATATCATAGGCTATACACACCCACCAAATCCACACCCATAGATAATAAAAAAAATAATAAGTAAATAAATAAATACTCGGGTGCCCTGGGTAAAATTAGCAACAACAACACATCATTCCCAAGAACTAATATCAGAATCACCATAATCCATAATGATGAAGCAAGCAAGCGCGTTAACAGATGAGCAGGCCGTGGAGTGGAGTGGAGTAAGAAGAACCGATAAAACTCAGGATGGATAGCGCCAAAAGGTGGAATAATATTTTCAAGAAAACTCAGGATGTTATATTCCCCTTATATACATGGCGCTATCCCTCCTGAGCTTAACTGATTCTTCCATACTAATTTTCTCGCACACAAATGCAAAAAAAATATCAAAAGAGATGGATAGTAAATTTTATGGGCCAAGGAGAGGTTGAAGAGGAAGAGGAATGTGTGTGGGAGTGATGGATGGGTGTGGGAAGAGATAAAGGCAGAGAGCGGTCGTATTTATAGCGGAGGAGATGCATGAGAGAGAGAGAGAGAGAGAGAGAGAGAGGGCGTTGGGGTTGGGACTTGGGAGAAGAAAGATGACGGTGAATGAAACGTGGGAGGATTTGCAGACAAACGTCACCTCTCCTCTCCTTTCTTTGAGAGAGAGAGAGAGAGAGAGAGAGAGAGGAATTCTGGGCTCGGCCTTGGCTTTGACTAGCATTACCAATCAATCAGGCCCCCCCGTCCCCTTCATTAATTCCTCTCCCACCTCCTTTCTTTCTTTCTTTGGTTGGATTGGATGTATTTCGGAACTTCTTCATTTTTTTTCATGCAATTGGACAACAGTATACTTCAATTATTCAAAACTTTTAATCTAGTTTCCTACAAATTTCAACCATATTAAGATCCAGACACAATTTACTGCCCAAATATATTGAATCAAACAAGATTGCTTTTTTTATAAGCACATATTACTAGATGATGACACGTAAACTAAACATCGTGCAACAAAGACAAAACTAACATTGAATTTTCTCAGAGTTTCTTATCTTTGGGTTACTTTTGCTAAATCCACAAGTCACTGTTTTGATTGTGCCAAATTTTTGGTTTCTGATGGATCGTTTACCAATTTTTTGGAAACGGGGGTTACCATCCATCCTTTTTCTTCTTTTGGGAGGTAGGTGATTTTTCTTTCCGGAGGTGATTTGTAATAATTGATAGTAATACCATTAAGTAGTATTTATATATTTTAGTGTGGTTCGGCCAACAAATCCCCTTTTTTAATGTCTGTGTTTAATGAGTGGCCAACAAATCATTTTTAGTGCATCTGCCGACTACGGTACGCGGGGCAGAGTAGACTGCTACAGTAAACTTACCACCCAAAAATATATGACCTTTTCTTTGGCCTTTTTTCTTTTTCCGTCATGGGTATTGGGTGGTATGATTTAGCAAACAATCGTACGTTACCGGGGATAATGAATGGCGTAAACTTCAGTGTGGGTTAATCCTATTTCTACAAAATATCCTATTTTACCACCCATTATCAGCCTCTTTGGAGACAATTCCGGAAGAAATGAAAATGGAAATGAAATTCTATAACCCACACTGAAGTTTACGCCATTCATTATCCCCGGTAACGTACGATTGTTTGCTAAATCATACCAGAATTTCATTTCCTATTCTAGTGTTTGGTATAATTCTTACAACTATGGAAATGGATTGCACTTTTAACCATAATAAATAATGCAATATGTTTGTTTTACTTTGAAAAATGCAATATGAATGAGAGAGGAAGAGAGTAAAATGATAGTGGATTAGTGGATCAATAAAATAAAAGTATTGATGGGTCCCACTAATTACATCAATTTTGATTGCAAGTTTGGTAACTCGAATTGCTATAAAATTTCACGTTTGCCACTCGAATTGGTTTATTCCATTTATAGTCACTCGAATTAGTTGAACAGTCAAAGTTCGGTCACTCTCCGTTAACCTCCGTTAGACTTTGTTAATGACGACCGTTTTGTGATGACGTGGCTAACAAAAAATCACAGTCTGCATATTTTAACACTAAAAAACGATGACCCGACCCGCCACGTCATATTTACCCGCCATGTCAGCCATTCTTGCCCAACCCGCTAACCAACCCAATTAATTGACCCAAACCCAAACCCGAGACCCAACCCCCCCCCCCTCGAATCTAGCCCTTTTATAAGTCTACCCCCTCAGAAAGGAATCCCTAATCTGTTCTCTTCCTCGTTAATCTGCGCGAGAATCGCCCCCTCCCCATCCATCTGTTCCTTTCCTTCTCCTCTCACTTCCCCTCTACCAATGGCTGCACCCTTCTGTCACTGTGGAGAGCCAACAGATATGAAGACGAGCTGGACTGAGGTGAATCCAGGAAGAAGGTTTTATGGATGCAGCAGATATGAGGTAATGTTTCATCCACCTTTGTTTCCTTTTTACTGTTACAATTCGACTATTATTTTGCCTTTTTCATCCTTCTATTTTCTCTGTGCGATGATGTGTAGACAAGTGAAGCATGTAACTACTTCAGATGGCTTGACCCAGCCCTTGATGAGCATATGAGAAATGTGTTGCTAAACTTTCATCGTCGAATTCGGGAGCAAGAGAAGAGGCAAAACAAGGAGGTGTCCAAGTTTGATCGGAAAATGGTGTCGTTCATCATTTTAGGAGCTATTGTATTCTTTTTTT